ACGTGCCTGGCCCTGGCCGCGTTGATCCTAGCCAAGGCTGGTCCCAGGCACCCAAGGCTGGCCATCAGCCCTTCTTCTTCCACTGGTAACTGAAGTCAATTACGTAGATAATAGGATGGACGCAGCAGGGCTTTGTCATCACATACATCGTTCTAACAGAAATGCATACAGCGACCCGAGCTTCGCGACAGTCCATTTTAGAAGCCTTTTGCGGAGCAAGTCAACTGCACGGTGAGAACTGGAAGAAAGCGTGTCTCCTCAGCATATCTGCCAGCCCGATCCCAAGCAGCCAGAGCCCGGAGAGCCCCAGCTGCATAGAGGGGTGCGGGACGCTCCCACCTCCCAAGCCCGCTGAATGGTCCACAGAGAAATCCCAGACGTGGTGCCTAGCCATCAAATGCCTGTTACCCAGCCCGCCCATTCTTTCTTCTCTCTCTCCAAAGCCTTCCTATTCCCTCAGTCCACATTCAGACGCACACCTTTTTGTCAGCTATTTAAAATCAGTAAGTGAACTTAATTAGGTTTGTCAATCCCTAAGGCTGGCAAGGTGGCAAGTAAGGCATTATATCCACCGTCCATTAACAATCTGTGGCCTGAACGAGGTTGTGCGTTTCTGAGCTCTGCGTGAGCTGCCTCCGCACCTCCCATGCAGACATCTGCCCCGTGGGTCTGGGCGGCACCTGATGCCAAGGCCGCCCCTCTACCCTGGCCCTCTGCCCCAACGGCCAGCTCACAGAAGCCCCCTGGGTCAGCTGTCAACAGGCCTCTCTGTAAAGCTAAACGAGACAGAGTCGGGGGGCTGTTCTTCATGCAAAGCCAGGCTCCAGCCAAGGTCTCTAGCCAAGTCTGTGTTAGCAACAAGCTCCAAACCCCACTGGCTGGAAAAGAGGGAAAAAGCAACGATCACCCAGGCAATCAAAAGTGTCTTCTTTGGAGAAAGAGATAGCCCTGAGGAGGCGTGAACTGTGGAGGGGCAGGGAGTGAAATCCCCACGGCTGAGGGCCAGACGGAGGGATCTCAGCTGCCACGCTCTGAAGTGACACAGCTCAGTAAGGGAGCTGGACAAGCCCCAGAGAGCTGGCTTTTCCTTGTCCCTGACCAGGCTGCCCACAGAGAGGGAGAGGGAGGCTGTACCGGCCCTGAGGCTCTGCTTCCTTTCCCCACACAGATCTGAGGCTTTGGGGCAGCAGAGTAACCCGTGCACTTGTTACAACCACCTGGCCCCTGCCATCCTGGCAGTAATGTGGCATGGACCTTGTTTTCTCTCAGACCCAGAGCAGTCCTCCTGGTATGTGCTAAGACCCAAGACCTGAAGCCGCGGCTGACTCTGGGGCGTGACTTGGTGTCTGCACTTAGATCGGAAAGACTCTGAGAGCCTTGAGGAAGTCTCACCCATCCCCAGCTAGGAGAGGGCAAGCAGAGCCAGGAACAAACTCTCCTTCACCTGAAGTTCAGGCAAAGGTACTCTGCGAGGTACCATCCAAAGTAGAGAAGGCTGGATCTGGGGGGCCCTGATCGCCACCTGGTCTCTTGGCTAGTGGTCCCACAGAAAAGAAGCTCCTAGGTTGGGTCTTCTGTGCCCTCCCTGCCCCATCATCCCCAGACCCCACTCCCCAACTGCCTCTGCTTCCCCCCCGCCCCCCCCCCCCACTTCCCAGCCTGACCCACCTTTGTCCCACCTGTCCCCTCCCTGCATCCTCCAGAGTCTGGAGCATTTGCGGGAGGGTTGGCAGCATGGCCTCCTGGGTGGACAGAGGCAGCATCACATGTTTACATCTGATTCGGCATCTGACTGAGTCTTCCCTGATTGTTATGAGTGTTCCTGACTCAAAATATGTGCAATTCCCAGTGTCAGTCAAACTCTTTGAGACAGGAGCTGCCACTGCCGTTGCCTTGCGGAGCGCTTTAGAAACTCTTCTATTTAGAAACCGTTCCAGCACCAGCTTGCATCGTGCCGTCCATGCTAAGAGGCCCAGTGACTGGGCCTAATTAGAGCTGAGACTGCAGCTCTAATCTCTCAGTAATAAGAAGGAAGGCAAGAGAGGGGCAGGGAGAGCAGAGAGGAAAGGGGAGACATGCATTTAGGGGAAGAGATCAGTTAGGGGGAAACAGGGGTTTCGGCCCTCTCCCCCATGCTCGATAGGCACACAGGTGTAACTTACTTTCTCATGTTCCCCAGGCCCTCCTGGAAAGTACTCCCATGATGCACCTCAGCACTGAAATCGGTGCCTGGCCTGGCCCCTTGGCCTATGGAGGACAGTCTAGGAGAGGATGAGCCTGAGTGGAGAACTGGAAAGGTGGACGGAGGGCCCCTTCCCCGCTGCTGTGCAGGAGCGTCGGGCAGATTTGCCTCCCTGATGTTCCACCAGGAACGTGATCCTTTCTAGTCACCCTCTCCAAGTAGCTCTAAGTACCTGTTTTCTTGCTGCCTGGGAGCAGTCTCTCCCTAACCCTGGCAACTGCTGTAAAGAGAACGAGACAGCAATATTAGGGCGCTTGTCTGCCTGTTGAGAATCCCAGGTCTGGCTGTGCCTGGGGGTTACACAGGCTCCAGCTAGGAGTTCATCTGTAGACCATGTCCCCTGTGGAGATCCAGGAAAACCACACCTCTGACCTCTCCAAGACTCGTGGAGAAACCCAGTGCAGGTGTACTCCCCATCGCCGCAGCCTGGTGGAATTCTCCCTTCCTCTGAGTTCTCAGAGCATCTTACCGGCACCTCTCACGTGGTATCCACCTCCTTCTAACTGATTCTACACCGACGTAGACACCCTTTGTCTCTCCCCTGGTCAGCAAGCAACTTGAATGCAGCATCTTGTCTGATTTCTTTTAGAATCCCTTGTAGGTCTGAAGTAGGACCCAATACACATACATGAGAGGCGTACGTGAAACGAAAATCCTCTCAGTGAGTGCTTATCAAGGTCAGCACGAAAGACGCCTCTCAGAGGCCTGTGCCAACAGCTGGCTGGACAGGTTGGGTGGGTTCGACCCCTCCTGCACAGTCATCCACCCAGAGCAGGATCTGGGGATTCTCCACGGGGCACTCTTCTTTCCAAGCCCAACCAACCGCCAGCCCTCTGTACCGGTCTCTCCTAATGGAGGCACGTGGGCCCCATCATGGGGAATACGGCCTGAAGGCGCCAGTGCGGTTGGCGTGAGTACAGCGGGTTCAGGCATTGCCTCTTCAGAATCAGACCAGGTTTGGGCCCCCTAATCGTGGCTTTCAAATAAGAAGGATTATTTGTGATCGACCAGATTTCATAAGACAGGTAAAGGCATAGACGGATGTACGGAGTAGCTTGGTTAAGAATAATTGATCACAAAAACACTATTTAGATAAAAGTTTGATTTTGTTTTCAAGTCCTTCCCCCACAAGAGGCAGTACTTCTTCTCTGGTCCCAGCACTGAGCCCTTCTACGTGTGGATCAGAGGCCATCCGCTCACGGGCACGAGGGGGGCTTCCAGCCTCTGTGGCAGTTCATGCACTGACTGTAAAGCTTTGCTGCCCTCACTGCAAATCATAAGCAGACATTCTTTCTCCTCAGGTTTCTTTCCTTTGTGCCTCTTCTCCCTCTGCTAAGGCTGTTTCCTGTGTTTGCTCTGCTCTCTTTGCCCCGCCTTCCGCATGCTGTCAATCTCCCACTCCTGCCAGCGCTTCTGTGTACTGCTCTTGCTACCCCACACTGCCAGCTCCACTGTCTGAGTTCCCTCTCCCCTTTTGTTTTAGCAGCATTTTTGAACTATAATTTGCATACCATCAATTCACCTGTTTTAAGTCTGCACATCAATGACTTTTAGCAAATGTACAGAGTTGTGCAAAGAACACCACAATCCAGTTGCAGAATGTTTTCGTCCCCCCAGAAAGAACTCTTGTGTTGGTTTACAGTCAATACTGTTCTCCTTCCCAGGCAACCGCTAATCTGCTTTCAATCTCTATAGATTTGCCTCTTCTATACGTTTCATATAAATGGGAAAATGTAGATGAATAGTGTCGTGAGGCCTTTAATTACCATCTGGCTTCTTTAACTTAGCGTGATACTTTAACATCCATACCAGAGACTGTGCCTGCTTCTGTGCAATCCAAGGTCATGCTGGATTGACTTTCTGAAAGGTGGGAGAGGGTTTTTAAGTTCTCAGGAAACTCACTTTACAGCAGGACAGGGCTGGCTATCTGAAGTCTTCCAGGAGGATGACTTCCCAGGAAACAGATGAACCAAAGGTATTTTCTATTTATCCCACTCTAAAGCCTTCCCTGCCCACAGTCCCAGGACCTGATCCTCCAAGGCTGTGAAAAAGATGGAAGGAAACAGTACGTCATGGGTTTACTGTTAACATTTATGGCCCCCTCCGTGTTGCTTACAAACACTCCCAAGGATCACACTCAAATCATTTAATATTTAACAATCAGTCGGGCACTGCAGAGACCAACCCCCGTCAGAACTGATACTGAGCAAGACATGGGTTCCTCGAGATCCCTCTCTGTGTGAGGAGTTAACCTTTCAGTTGCTGGATAATGAGGAATCCAGGGGGCTCCCGGGACAGAGCCGTGCTGCCTGAGGCAATCAACAAGCAGAGGACACGTGGGGGACAGAGGCGCTTTATCAGTTGGCACAGGAGCATCTCAATAGTTTAATAATGTCTTCAGCCCCGCCTGTGAGCACCAGCTGATACGAAGCCTAGCCCTTCTGCCCACCCTGCACACCCAGAACGCACAAGAGGTCTCCTCAGAGTATCCGGGAGTCCTGATCTCAGGCCCCAAGCTCCAAATTCCATTAACCTACAGAGCAGTCCCACAGAAAGGGAAGTGCCCTGTGCTGGAGAAGCAGGGAGATGTTGACGGCTCCCCGCTCGCTCGCCGCCTCCCTGAGATTAGATGAGGCTGATAACAGCTACAGTTGCGAGCCGGGTCATCAGTGCACATTGGGATCGTGCTGGACGTTGAATCCAGGGCATGACCTACCCGCGTAGTTTCTCACACCCGCTCCTCTTCACACGCCTACAGGTTCTGGTTGCAGATCGTTGCCTGGTGGGAACAAGGATCCAGAGCCACCGTGGCTTTCAACAATATCTCCATCAGCCTGGACTGCTACCTCACCAGTGAGTGCACCTTGTCCCCAGCACTTGCCCCCAGCCCAGGCTATCCTGGGCCTCACAATCCCTCTTAGACCCAAGCCCGTGGTCTCTGCCACCTTCCCCGGGGCGCGCTCATCTCTCTCCCTTAAACCGAACCTCACTTAACTCAGCCCGTGGGGTCTTCTCTATTCTAGTTGGTGGGGAGGACAAGATGCTGCAGAATACGGCACCCAAGTCAAGAAATCTGTTTGAGGGAAACCCAAACAAGGAGACAAAACCCTGGGAAAGCACACCAAAAGAGAACCCCATCTTTGACCCTACAGGTAAGGGTTCAACTTACATATCTGAGCAAAGTGATCTTATGTCGCAAAAGGTAGAAGAAAGATATGTGCTGTGATTGGGGTGGGGAGAGGTGTTTATAGAATAAAATAGTCGACCTTTAGAAAGAACATCAAGAGGAAGCTGTTTGGTTGCCCTATTCCCTGGGGAGACGGAGCTTCTGAAAGTTGTGCAAAGGAGCAACTGTCCTCCATGGCTGGGAAGTACCCAGGCCCCGGCACAAACAGGGGAACCAAGCTGGTACCCTTGTCTCAACTCAGTCCTTCGAAACCACTCCCCATTTACTGAACAAAGCAAACCTTCCATCGATTTCTTCTCCTCATAAAGAGGGCTGGGCCCAAGGCCAAGGTCATCCGTTGCTCAAAGGCAGCCTAGCTCATCAGTGGTAAAACCCCCCAAAGCTTCAGGTTCACCGCATTCCCCCAGAGCTTGGCTCCCTTCTGAAGCTGTTTAATTCAGCATCCCCTGCGCTGAAGGGCTTCTCGTGGGGCCCTTGCTGCTTCACACATAGGCCTCGTCAGCCTCTGGCCCTAAACTGCGGGTGTGACTTCTCATTAAGCTTTATTTGGGCCAATATGAGGACGATAGCCCAGGAGACGGCATTTCACGTAGCTCTGAGAGACTGCTCTGAAGAGGCAGGGGGGACAGTCAGTGTATATGTGGTTTCGGTGAAGGGGGAGCACGTGCAGTGCAGCACACAGGACAGAAGGTTGCTGCTAGTCTCATGAAGGTTACAGCTAGCCACAAGGAGCAGACATCACCACGAAAGATTTTAGTGCTTTCTCTAGATATAAGGAGATGCAAGGATTGGGCTCATAAAATATTCTCCTGTGGCTTCCCTGGTGGCACAGTGGTTGAGAGTCCGCCTGCCGATGCAGGGGACACGGGTTCGTGCCCCGGTCCGGGAGGGTCCCACATGCCGCGGAGCGGCTGGGCCCATGAGCCATGGCCGCTGAGCCTGCACGTACGGAGCCTGTGCTCCGCAACGGGAGAGGCCACAACAGTGAGAGGCCCGTGTACCGCAAAAAAAAAAAAAAAAAAAAAAAAATTCTCCTGAAAGTATCTAACTATTTGAAGGCCTGTTCTGCCAGTTTTTTTAGAGCACAGAGTGTCTCATTCCTGATCTACCCCTGAACTCCTTTCAGGGTGACTGTTGAAGGTCAGCGGTCACAGCAGCTTATGATTTGATCCTTGTAGAGGTAGATGCCAAGTGCCAATTTGTGGTTGACAAGCTTAACCTAACTCAGAGCTTCTACCCGGGAGAGGCCCCTGGAGAGGAAGGGAGGGCTGGGGGCAGAGGGAAGGGGAAGGAAAGAACAGTCAGTGAGCACACCTGACCCTGGGCTGGGGCGTCTCACACATCTACTCCTCTAGTTCTCACTCTGGCCCAGGGCCCGCTGCTGTTATTAGAACTGCAGGGAGGAGAGCGATGATGGGGAAGAATGTAAACATCCCGCAGCTGGTAGGAAACGGGGCCCGGACGTAGCCCTGAAGTCTGCACTCTTCAGCCAACTGAGCTACTGCGAGTATCTAATTCTCCTATCAGAGATCAGCGCTGTAGACGGAAAAGAGCTGGGAGAGTGGCCCAGACGAGAGCCCCTGCATGATCAGTAAACAGATCTGCTCCCAGCCATCCCGACAAAGGACAGAGGAGGCTGGATAATAAGATTTTCTCCCCAAAGTTCAGCACTGTCAGTTTCTGCTGGGCTTGGAACAAGGGTGGCTGGTGGCATTTCCACTCTCCTCCCGGCAGGCTTTCGAGCAACTCCTAGAAATGCAAGCGCCAGTTGGGTCTTCTGAAAACCTTCGCTCACAAAGCTTCCAAATTTCTAAACGCTCCTCACGTCCCCCAAGCCAGCCCTTCCCTCTGATGAGGGCCTGACCCTCTGGGTCTGGGGATTTCCTTGCGCCCAGCCCACGGGGCAGAGCTGAGCCGCTGTAGCATCCAGGCAGGGAATAGCCTGTCCAGGTGCTTCACGGAACATTCTCGGAAGCCTCTGAGTCACTTCACCTAATCAGATGAAGAAACTGAGAGAGAAATGGGGCAAGTATTAAGGCTGAGAAATTACGTTTGTCCGCTTTGCACATATAGTGACACTAACCATATGGTCGGGATGATGCAATCACAGGCTGCAGAGCTCGTGCTCGCTCTCTCTCTCTCTCTCTCTCTCTCTCTCCCTCTCTCTCTCTCTCTCTCTCTCCCCCCGCCCCCCAGCAGTAATGACCACTGGGGTGAGGAGGTGAATGCAGGCTCTGTTACCTTCTCTCTCTCTAAAAGCCCAGGTAAGGACAGGCAGGACCCGACCCCGACCCCGGGCCAGATGACTCTGCCTCGGCTTCCTAACCCACCTCTCCTCTTTCGAGCTTACATATTGTGTAGGAGGGCAGGATGGAATCAGCTCAGTTTACATGCAAACAAGCCCAACCCACAGGTATCCATAACTTGCAGAACGCTGGCATCAAGCCACAGTCTTGCCTTTGAGTTGGTTGGTGACAGTTGGTTTACTGTATTCTGAATACACGTCTTTGCCAAAGGTTGGTGGGGAGACAATTAAAAATGTGTGGAAAAGAGCACTGGACCAGGAGTCAGAACTCCCGGCTGGCCTACACTAGCAAGCTGTGGTCCTAAGACAGGTCTCACCTCTGTCCGGCCTTCCATCCCCTCATCTGATGCCTGGGGCATGTCAGCAAACCCTCAGGTAACAGTTCGTGTTTGAGGGAATAACACAAACACAGACAAAGGAGAGAAAACTGCTACTTTTGAAAATCAAGTTTGAAGTAGACAGTCTCCAGGTCCCTCGCCATCCCCAGCTCCATGGTTCTAAGAGCTGAGGGGATATAACATAAGGGAGCCAGAGCTCTCCTTGGCCCACTGCTAATGTGCCCAGAAGTGAGGGTGACGACGCACTGTCCATTTCCACACACACTCCTATGATTCAAGGACAGATGCCAATTCCAATGAGAAAGTTTTATGTGTTTCACATAAATTGATTGGGTCTATTTCTGCTAAATGAATTATCCGTTCACCACAGAACAACTATTAGAGTTAATAGAATTTGTAGCTAGAGCCATTATGCTCCAAGTACACCCTTCTGGGGATGACAGCATTATTGGAAGGCAGGCTTCACGGGGCCTGGCCTCGCTCACTCAGAACTGTCTTCTCACTCACTGGGGGTCTTTGTTTCCATCAGAGCCTTTCGCACCTGCAGGCCCAGCCAGGCTCATTTCAGCGGCATACCCCATTAGTGAAGATGTACCAGTTCCTAAAGAAATGCATGTATCTCATCCAGTTCCAGAAAATCCTATCGTCTTATCAGCTGTTGGCATTGCAGACAAGCTCATGCCAGGTTGGAGGTACAGAGGCGGCTGGCATCCCTGCTTTAGCCGTGGCTCTTTACTGTGTGCCAGTTTTGAAGGCAGGAGGCCCCCAAAGCATTGGGAGGACAGGCAACAAGTAAAGGTAGACGCTCACTCCAGGGGGACCTCAGAATAGACTCCTAAGTTCATTGTATCATTAACAGCTTCTTCCAGAAATAACCAGTGACGAACTGGGACTGCATGAATGCAGCAGCGAGCAGGTCGGCTGTTGGGGACCTAGATCTGGCCCAGGGTTTCTCTGTGTCATCACGTCATCTGCTTCTGGTTACCTGGCTGGGGGAGGGAGGACCCACAAGCGCTCCTGGTTAAAATGCTGATTCCTGGGCCCCGCGGACCTGTGTAATCTTAATGTCTGAGAATGAGAGGTCAAGCTCTGCGTTTTTAACAAACTCACAAGGAAAACCTGGTTTGAAACAGCGTTTAGGAACCCCAGGCTGCAGCCCGACCTCCTCGATGCAGATGGGCGTGGACCTTGGGATGGAGAGGAGGCGGGCTCGAGGCCACACAGCATCCTCCGAGCGTTCAGCTCTCAGACAGTAAAGGCCTCGCCTCATGCGTCTCCTCGTTACACAACAATAATAACCGCTATCACTGAGCACCGCCATGTGCTGGGCTCTTTCACGTGCATTATCTCATTTGCTCGTACTATAATATTGCCCCCCATTTACAGATGAGGAACTTGAGGCCCACAGAGAGGAAGTAACTTGCTCTAAGTTATACAAGTTGTGTAAAAGGTTAAAATCACATGCAAAGTAAAGTTTTCTAAGTCAAATAGCATTTGGAAGGGCAACGTTTCCTTCACGAAACCTTACAGGAATCCCACTGTTGAACGGGTCTTCTAGAGGAATCTCTCTTTGAAAAACCCTGAACTGAAAATGTCAGTTTTTGCTTAAACAGAGCACATAGGCATCTTCACTAATATTCAAAACAGCACACCAGGCGTACAATGCACCTCCGCACATGTAAGAAAGCTGATCATTGCAGCTAATTTGCGTCTCTCCGTGCACCCCAGCCTTCGTGGGTGCACATGAAAGGCACTTCTGTCGGCACCCGTTCAACTGCGGGGAGCCCCTCTTTGAGAGCTGGGCCGGCACGGGGCTGTAGATATAATCCTCGGAACCCGTTCGGGCACTGGCCGTTTCCCTGCTCAGCTGGCCTGCTGTTTAACCATGAGCTGCGCGTTCTCTCTTATCCACTGATTTTAGATTATCACCTATTTATAGCCAGAGTACTAGTGATAACGCGTGAAGCACCAGCTCTAACAAGGCTCGTGGGCCCCCAGTCACTGCGGCGGGCTCGGCGCCCTCCAATTAGGATGTCACTCTTCATTTGGGTGCATGTCCCTTCCCCAGGAGCTAGCGCGGCTGTGCTCCAGGGAGAGAGGTAGCTTGGAACTAATTCGTGACTCACAATCCCCATTACTCATGTTAACAAGTCCCTCCCAGAGCAAGAGGCTTTCAAGCTGGGGAGCCAGTCAGCATCCCCAGGAGCTGGCCGACACCAAGACCCAGGGGCAGCTTGGTGGCCGAGGGAGAGACAGCACTTCTGCAGGGACCCGGTGATGGTGACAGGGAGGAACTGAAGGCTGGATAAGAAGCCATGCTCCCTGAGCAGAGCACCCACTGGCAGCAGAGCTTCATGGGTTTGCAGACGGCCCCCTTCCCTCTGCACGCCCGTCTC